TCTGAGCTTGCTCACGCTCACTCACTCACACGCACACACCCAGCCACCGGCCTGGTCTGGGCTCCCCCGCCAGCCACTGCTGTGCCCCAGCCCCACCCTCATCCCAGCAGATGTGAACCCCTGTTGAGCGGCCATGTCTGTTTGCCTCCTGTCCCTTCAGCTCTGACACCTCTCGGCTCTCTCTTGCATACCTTCTTCAACAAATGCCACTCATCTCCCCACACCCACACAGTCCTCATGATGGTTATGAGGATGCCATTTCATCACAAAGGCCCACTCTCTCTCACTGATGCAGAAGCAGAGGGCGGGACACCAATCCCTGATCTAGTCCTCCCTCGGGCCTACAGGCTGCGGAGTCTAATGCCCTGTTTTAAAGAAGCCACTGAAGATAGTCTTAAAGTTAGTCAATTAACATATGATCAAAGACATCGACTTTCTAATGCTAGTGCGATATAGAAAGGGGCCATCCATTAAATAAACTGAGCTTCTACAAAGAGATACTGCCTCTGGATATTTTCAATGTTAATACCTGATATTCCCTGAGAAGTCACATCTGTAATTTGGGTATCACGGGCATGAAGAACTTCTACCACCATAATGTCCCTGCGCTCAACCATCTTATATAAATGGTACATGAATTAGGCCACGGAGAGGACACACGAGCTCGGATTTACAGCCCATGTACCCGGGGTCCGCACAGATAGCACTAAGGCACGGAAAGAGTGTCCGAGGCCTCACGACACAGGAGAGACATCCAACCTGGTGGACCCAGTTCTGTGACTGCCTCATGCTCTTTGCCACTTTGTGGCCTTCACCACAGTTTTCTTACCTCTCCCACTGGAACAATACGTTCAGGCCTACTTCACAGAAGGGTTTGCGGCCACCTGATGCCCTCCCTTTTCTCCACTTATCTTGTCATTCGTGAACTTGTTAAAAGGCAGCCGTGTTAATGATTTATGCCACTGCAACTAATTTTCTTTTCACCATCCTTCCTTTCCCATCAGAACAAGAGAAAGGAATCTGACGGAAAAAACAGTCAGTGATGTCTCTAAACAACCTTCTGGTCTTCCCCTTTCCCTAGGCTGGTCCTAGGGGATGGGTTTGGCCTTTCAGGATGCCCGTTAATCTAAATGAGCCAACGCAAAGCAGACCATAGCAGGGGGACACTTCCCCAGTCCAGGCCCCCATGTCTCTGGGGGATGGAGTCTGGATGTTCAGAAGAGAAAATCCGATACATAAAGTACACTGCTTTTCTCTGCTTTAGCAAGGCTTATTTTGGCAAAATGCCCAAAAGAACTCAACATATTTATAGAGTTTTGTTTGATCTACTTTTAAATGCTCCATGCAGAGTCATTCAAGTGAAATGAGAATACAGATTTTCAAAGGAAAAACTGAAGGAAGATTCTAAATATAAGTTATTTGTTGAGCATAAACAAGATTTCTCCCTTCTATCCAACACACTCCCTCTAACGCATCTATTTTTAAAGGCATTCTCAAACTTTGCTGCTGACGAATAGATCAGACCCCAAACTTTTACAGTTAAGGGGGGAGTGAGGGCAGGAATAAGAGGAGGGAGAGGGCAATGTCCGTGAGCACATGCCCACTAGGAGTTGTAGCAAAGGTGTAGAAAATCTGAGAGACCCTCAGCTGGGGGTCATCTATCTCCCTTGCCTATGCTGAGAGAATCCTAAGGGGAAAGTACCTAGCACAAACAAATCTAGAGTTTCCCAGGTCTTAAAATCAGTACCCCAAACAGCCATTGTCCTGGGAGACTTAGGGAATGACAGAAAATTCCACATTTCTCTCTTGGGGCAGAAGGGGAAAGATCTTTATTGCAGCTAGTCGAAATGGTGGGTTTTTTTTTTTTTTTCTTATTTTGACTTGTTTTTAATACAATTTGCCCCTTCTCATCCCCATCAGAATCAAGAGGGGGGAAGCCTGGGTGTTTTATGAATTTTCTTGATGCAAAGGGGGTTTGCATTCCCACAATTCCTCCTTCTGTATCTAAAAGCAGAGATTCTTAACAGGGGGTTCGTGGACAAAGTTAATTCGGGGGCCTGAACATGGGTGGGAAGAAAATCGTACCTTTAATTTGACTGTCCTCTAACTGAAATCTGGCTTTTCTGTGCACTATGCATGTGAAGCAACAGCCATACTGGTAATGGGCAGCACCTGTGGATTTCACTGATCTGCTACCAGTGGGTAGATCGTTTCATTTCTCAGCCCGGTCACTGCAGTGGTCATGAAATATCATCTACATTCACCCTTCAAAATTATGATAGCTTCTAGACCCACTGCTGGATCTTGCTATTTAATGCATCCATACAGAACATGTATTATTTATGTTTTTGCAGTATTTTGATAACTGTATTGCAGTATAATTGGTTTCCTTTGCAATTCTATGGATTTTATTTTATTTTTTTTTTAAAGATTCTATTTATTTATTTGACAGAGAGAGAGATAGTGAGAGCAGGAACACAGGCAGGGGGAGTGGGAGAGGGAGAAGCAGGCTTCCCGCCGAGCAGGGAGCCCGACGCGGGACTCGATCCCGGGACTCCAGGATCACGACCTGAGCCGAAGGCAGTTGCTTAACCGACTGAGCCACCCAGGCGCCCCCCCAATATCTGCAATATTATAAGTAAACAGACATAATGGGAAAACTCATTTTTGATAATATAATTTTTTAAATATGGTTTAAAAGGCCAACCTTTATGTTTTGTTTTACATAAATATCCTAGGCTACACAGTTTTCCTTTTTCCTCTGGGAAGCAAGCCCATCCTGAAGCCTGGCACTGAACCGGCGGTGACTGAACAGGACACTGGTCTTGCTGGTGGCGGGGACGTCCTACGTCATCTCGGCACGAAGAGTAACACCTGCGATCCCTCCTCTCCTTCAGCGACCCATGCCCGCTTTCCCTACAGCCAACGGGCAGGTGAGGGTGGCCACTATCTCCCAGAAATGTGTTAATAATTTTCCTTATCTTGATTTGTATTTCATAAAACATTATTACAACATTAAAGGAAAAACTATCTTCTGTGACACAACCATTTTCAATCCTCGTTCCCTTCCGGTCTTCAATCACACACGCGGAGATGTATTTTACGTGGCTGTGTCCTAGTAGATGCAATTTTGTGTCCTGATCTGTTCATTTATTTTGCAAAAAAGTCTTTTCATACTTCCATTTATTTGCTTACTTATTCGGCAAGCGTTTATTAAAGTACATATTAGGTTTCAGGCACTCTTCCAGGTACCACGTAAGTAAAGATAGATCAAAACCAGATCCCTGCTGTTGAAAAGCTCTCAGGTTAGCAGAATTTAACAGAAAATTACATCGCACAGTATTGTAATAAATACAGATTTAAAGACCTCTGGGTTTACCATCTTAATGTCTTCACAATCTTCTAGTTGAATACTATCACTTAATTCATATAACTGTTCTCTCTCTTATTTTTCATTATCACAAGCAATTGACGTGTTTCATTTATTTTTTTTTCTGTTAACCATTTTCTTTGGATAAATTCCTGGGAGTGAGATTACTGGCTCAAAGGATGTTAATTCAGATTTTTACAGCTCTTGCCATACTCTGCTAAATAGCTTCATACTAGGATCATAAAGACATACGAAGTCACCACTTCTCGGTATTACCAACAGTCTTAATGTAAAATGTTTTCTTAGGATTCTCAAAAGCAGGACCCATTATTGTCTTAATTTGCATTTATTTAATTAATAGCAGTGCGGAACATTTCCTCATGGTAAAGATTTTTCTTTCCCTTTGTGGGATTTGTGTTTATGGCAGATTTATCTACCATTTATTGTTGTTATAGTACCTTCCTAGTATAATTTCATATGTGATATATATTACAACTTTTCATGATCATTTATTGCAAAATGTTTATTTGTTGTTCTCTGTTGTTTTTTTTTAGCTAAAGTCACTTCAAATTATACCAAAATTTTAACTTTTTTTTAAATTAGTCACATAACGAGATCCCCTCGTTAATGAGTTAAATAAAACTTTGACGCATGCTCACTTTATGTTTGTACGAGCATCAGAGAACCTGGTGGCTAGCATCAGCCCTGCTACTTGGACCCACGTCACAGTTCACTTAATCCCCTCCTTGACTTCTAGCTTCCTTTTTTTGTAAACCATGGGTTTCTCTAAGGCCAAATGGTACTCAGGAAACCAAAGCTATCGGAGAACTGTATTTCTATACACAGACACAAGTGTTGAATCAGGATGAATGATCAGGTTCTAAGTCTGAAGCCCAGGATTGCCCAAGCAGAAGGGAGAGGAGCAGAGGAGAGGGAGAAGCAGACTCCCCGCCGAGCAGGGAGCCTGATGTGGAGCTCGATCCCAGGACCCTGGGACCACTCCACCAGCACGGCTGGCCCCGAGTAGCCAGGACCGAGCAGCAATAAGGGAATGCGGGGCAGTGGAGAGAACAGTTGGTCTCCAGCCAGGTGGACCTGGCTCCAACCCTCAGCCCTGACTCTTCTAGGGTCTGTCTCTTTTTTTTTTTTCCTTCTGGGATCTCTTGAGGCTCTTTTCTCATCCACAAAACAAAGTGCTTGGGATGGGCCACCCAATGGGCCAATGTGTAAAGAACCTTATCACGCCTGTCACATACTAGTCTTCTATAAATGTCCCTTCTTTCCCTTCCCTTTGAATCCACAGTGTCCCCCACGATGAATACTGAATTTACCCTCTAGAGATGGCTCAGGGTCACTCTGGAGAGCCAGAGTCTACCGGCAATTGAAGCAGAGGAGAACAGCTGTGGCAGTGGGCCGGGACCTCTGAAGCCCTTGTACACTGTGTGAGAAAGACTGTAATTTCAGATGGCCCACACCTGCTCCTAATGGGCTTGGCGGCATTCCTGTCTCTGAGAAACCAGATAGTGTCTAAGGTCTCTCTAAGCTCAAACATCCGCCACAGCAAGGCCAAGCAGGGGTGGATCCTGACCGCCCGCGCGAGGCCACCCACCCACCCGCCTGGCACGCTTACCTCTCCTACTACCTCTATGATGTCGCCGACCTTCAGCTCAAGCTCGTCGTCGTTCTGGGGCAGGTAGCTGAACGCCACCTGGCAGCGGCGCCTCCTTCGCTCGCCTGAATGGGGAAAGCAAAATATTGTTGAGATGCAGCTCTTGTCTCAAAATTCGATTTTAAAGTGAGGCTTCCTAGGCATGCAGGCAAATTAAGCTGACTTGTCTCAGATATGCTCTCTGGGACATGGCTAGAGGCACGGCAGCCCTGGTCTCAGAGAGAGGCAGTAGAAAGCAGAGCAGTGCTTCTTGGTCTTTTAAAAGCTGCTGGGTCAGAAAGGCATGGATATGAGAAACCGATCCGTTGGTGCAGAAGGCAAAAACCCCACCCCTGAAGCGCTGGAGCAGTGTTGCCTTAAACGCTTTTCCACGGATGGGGCTTTGTATTTGTTGCTGTTGATTTTTGATGAAAGCTGATGTGATGTGGTAGAATAAAAAGAATGGTCTGCTTCTAATGCTAGCAAGGCAGAGGAAATTTTCCCCAATGTGCAAAGGAAAAGATAAAGTAGCCTGGCCTTTTTCTGACTAATCATCACCCTTTCAACATGCTGGAACTCAGGCCTGATAAGCAAAGGCTAGTTAGATTTCAGCCTGCCCTTGGTGCCATTTCAAATGCCCCAAAGGGGTTCAACAAATCCACTTCGGTCCTCTTCCCTCAGTTCCAGGGGACCGATTAGCAGGATCCCTGGCTGCTCACACAGAACCAACCCAGGCAAATCAAGATAAAAGCCAGGACCACATTTCACTTGACCGGAGGACATTCAAGGTCACAGCATCTCGCTCACCCAGAGCGGCCCAACGGGGAGGCCCTGGCTTAGAGCTGGTTCAAGTACAGATGCAATTGTCCACACCACAGACATGCACTGTGGGCAGAAAGAACATGCATGTGGTATGTGTGATGGGGGTGGGGTAGGGAGACAGACAGGCAGCAGCGGAGGCCCAAGCCAGGGAGAGGTGGATAGCAGAGAAGAAGTAAGACCCGCATTGCTCCCAAGTTTGTGGCTCAAGGCTGACCACCTCACATTGTTCCCTCCTGCCACCACATGGCCTAGAAAACCAAAGGGATCAACAACTTCAAGGAAACACATTTAGAAATGCTGACATTATTTTTGGATACTGCCTACAGTGATTCTTTTCCTTTTCTAGTCTTTTCCCTGAGAAAGCAAATCCCTGCAGGAGTGATCACAGGCCGCATTAAGGCCCCCGTGCAGCATGACATCATACAAAGGGGAAGGTCTTTGCTACATCTGATGGGCTCACTGATCAATATGTTTCAAAAGCCAGTGGCCTAGTTCACTCCGCTCCATTTTTCTCTGCCTGAACCTCACTACGGAAGAACCGAGTCAAACAGAAGAAAGGGGGCAGAAGTTCAGAATCAATAGCTTGTCTGATCACATCTTTGGCAACTATACAAATACACTCCACTGCTTCATGCAAAACCACAAGCCACCTGGGCCTAATGGGAACAAATGCAGAACCTCGGGCCAACTGCCAGGTGCCGACCACACTGTCTGCAGGTGGCACAGGGCGACCCACGGAGGGCCCGGCTCTCCCAGGCACTGAGGGCGCATCCCAGCTGGCTTCTCCCCGGTGGGGAATGAGGAAGAGTGGCAGTCCGGGGCCAAGAACTCTACCGTGATTCCATGGCGTTCGATGCAATGGGAGGCAAATCCAGCACTCTGTTGTAAAGGGTACAGATTCCTCGTTCTAGCTCAGAAGGTCAAGATGACGACGAAGCGATCTCGGCACCCACCATGACTCCCCTGCCCCCACATACACCTCTTAAGACGAAGTTCTTTTATTTATTTGTTTATTTGACAAAGAGAGAGACATAGCGAGAGCAGGAACACAAGCAGGGGGAGTGGGAGAGGGAGAAGCAGGCTTCCCACGGAGCAGGGAGCCTGATTCGGGGCTTGATCCCAGGACCCCGGGATCATGACCTGAGCCAAAGGCAGACGCTTAACGGCTGAGCCACCCAGGTGCCCCTTAAGACAAAGTTCAATTCTAAATTGTGAAGAGATTTATTTGCTAGATGTTACATTAAAAGCAAGCTCTGCACGTACAAATCCGAACACAGAACGAGTAAACACGAAAAATCTCTGAAACCTAACATTCACAAGCACAGAAGCCACCAGTCCTGACCAAAGTGACTTGAAAATAACATCTGAAGCCCCAGTGTTGGCTGAAATCATAAAACGCAGTTATACATAAGTTCGTGTCTGCACAAAACCCTCTGTGAAAAGCAGCATCTAACCTGATGTTACGCAAATGGTGAAAGAGAGAGTGATGTATTCTTCACGGATAGACTAACACTGCAGACTCAGGACCTGGAACAGGATAATCAGATTTCTCTTGAACCAAATCTCTGCCTCAGACTTCTATAAAGCCCTGTCTGGTATCAGAAGAATGACACGTTTACTAGTTTCTGTCTGCCAGGCTAATCAATAGTTCTTAAACACCTCTAAGAAGGTTAATTCATTGGTGGCATAAAGTCCTATCAAACACATCACCCACATACAGGACCAAGAAAAGTGAGTCCCACAGCGAGGTATGCAGATGTTGCTGACCGTAAAGGCCACCTGACCTGACCCCGGGCAGAAATAGTGATTTCCTGTGGCACTGGGATAGCTTTGTGGTCTTTTCTAAAGCACTTCTGGTATCCACCATCCAATCTCATCCTGCCAACCACATGAGTTAAAAAGAAAAAGAAAGGAGCCAGAATGAGCAACCATTTTGCAAATGAGAGCGTCGGGGCTCAGTGACTTATCCAAGGACACTGAGCTGATGAGCGGCAGTATCTCCTTGGCCTGAGTTCAGAGCTTTCCTCCAATGCTGGATGAGCCAATCCTATTCACATCTCATCCCACATTCTCTGCAATCTGTACTCAACTGCTTCTTGCACCACTGTGTAACACAGCCTCAGGTTTTCACCCCAATTCCCTGACCGCTGCTTTTCCAGGCCTCAACTTCTGCAAATCACCGTTCCAGTCTTGTTTGCCAGATCTACCCAAACTAAAACCCAGTTCAAGGTGGGTGGCCGACATCAGGAGACACTGCGTTTCAGGTGCCTCTGTCCATCCAAAATTTAAGGGAGTTTAAGGATATCATTGGCCATTTTTCCCCCTCCTGGCATTTCACTGATGTTTACTACTCAGTCTTGACCTTCCTTGAGGAGGTGCCTAGACAACAATGTCATCTCCTTTCAATAGCTGGCATAAACTGGAGAAAAATAAGAATGACTTGCCCAAGGCCGTGGCTTAGCATCACTGAATTTGAGCTACCATCTTCATACCCAGAGCCCAGTCTGCTTGAACTCGTTTTCACACATTACTTTGGGCTTTTTTTCTATGGAATAAACTGAGCCTTGAAAGAAATTTAAATGCATTTGCTGATCATGGCCAACAATACAAATTGATATCAGGACAACTAGAAAGAGAAGAGGACATATGTTCCTCCTCCTTCATGTCAGGGCCACTGCCACTGTCCTTTGTCACTCTGTGTGTTTTCTAGGTGGGACCACTTACCTCCCAAGACATAACCGCGAGAAGTAACACACACGGGTTTTACGGACATACATGCTAATGTATATGTGCTCACGGACACAGACTCACGGACACGGGTCTCCACGGCCGTAGTGTACGGTGGCTGCACACTACACATGCCTGGCCATGCATTCACACGTCAAAACACGGGCACACGGACGCCAAGGCACACGCTCGCAATGCCCACACTAGGCCTCGTTCATTCCTGCCCTTACTTTCGTGACCAGCTTTGTGTAATAAAATAACAACAGCTAGCATTTATTGAGCACTTACTGTGTGCCAGAGACTGCTGAGTACCGTATACGTATGACCCCACTTAATCCTCACGCCGAACCCCCTTTTTACAAGCAAGGAGAGACACAGAGATTGAGTGTTTTACCAGAGGCCTTACAGCTCGAAAGTGGATGCAAGTCTGGAGCCACTGCCCCCCACGTCTGACTGTTCTGAAGAACTCTCAGCTATGGCTCTTGAGACTGCAGAAAGGACTCACTGGGCCAATGTGGGACGTGGTTAAGATGTGAAACCGGGAAGTGAAAAACCACAAATCAGGAGCATTTCCTTATAGCTGCTGGATATTTTAATGAAAGAAAACTGGCTGGAAGTACACTCACACTCTCTAAAAATGACAGAGCAGAAACTGAAGAGGGTGCCGTGACCCATCCTTAGAAACAGCACACTCGTCCGTATTTTAGTGCCTTCTAGGGTCTTACAGCATGTGAAAACTTTACTAGGCCAATTTATTCAATGACCACAAAAATGTAACAACAAATAATGCAGTGGTGGAAAAAAGTCTTCGGGTCAACTGAAAACTTTCAACACTCACATTACCTATTTTTTTTTTTTTTTTTTTTAACATCTCATATCCCCTATGACGGAATACCAGTACAACTACAAGGGTCTAGGGGTGCCTGGGTGGCTCAGATGGTTAAGCGTCTGCCTTCGGCTCAGGTCATGATCTCAGGGTCCTGGGATCGAGTCCCGCATCGGGCTCCCTGCT